TGTATGTGGGGTAGGCAGGTGGGTGGGTGCGTGGTTAGGTGGGTAGGTGGTTGGTTGGTTGTTTAGGTTTGCGTGGTTAATGTGTGGTTAGGTGGGTGGTGGGTGCGTGGTTAGGTGTGTATGTGGGGTAGGCAGGTGGGTGGGTGCGTGGTTAGGTGGGTAGGCAGGTGGGTGGGTAGGTGGGTAGGTGGGTGGGTGGGTGCGTGGTTAGGTGGGTAGGCAGGTGGGTGGGTGCGTGGTTAGGTGGGTAGGTGGGTAGGCAGGTGGGTGGGTGCGTGGTTAGGTGGGTAGGCAGGTGTAGGTGAGTTGGTTAGTAGGTGGGTATGGTAGGTGGCTTGGTTGGGTGGGTGGTTGGGTGTATGGGTTGAGTGGGTGGATCGGTTAGTGGGTGGGTAGGCAGGCAGGCAGGCAGGCAGGCAGGCAGGCAGGCAGGCAAGCGGGCAGGGAGGCATGTCTTATATGTTGCTGGTATTGCCAGTAGATGGCGCTATGTGTTACTGTCATTAACAGGAGAAGGTGTTATATGTTGCTGTTGTTATCAGTAGATGGCGCTACGTGATACTGCCATTAAAAGTAGGTGTTATATGTTGCTATTGTTATCAGTAGATGGCGCTACGTGTTACTGGCATTAACAGTGGTTGCGTTCGCGGCTGCACGCAGGTTGTGTTTCTGGCCGTGTCCGTCGGCTGGATCGTCTGCTACGTGTACCGCTTTGTGTTGCTGCGCGGCGCACTCGAACACCTACACATGACCTCACACGACGTCTACCTTGACCTCAGCACTGTCGCCATCTGGGAGCAGGTAACGATAACGCGGGGCGCATTTGTTTTGCGCGGATCGTATGATCCTGAGAGTATGGATCCAGTGATCCTGTGCGTATGTTTGGGCCGATCAGTGATGCGCATCACACATTGCTGACCCTACTTGCCGACCACCTTACTGAGGTGGATTCACAGGGGATCCAATATGGTGGGCCGTGTGTGACCCGGCCAATCACAGCTCGTTGTTTGTTATGAACCATCCTGTGATAGGTTACAGTGAAACGTCATCCGATGGAAGTGAGTTAGCATTTGCTTGGGTAGATCATGATCAAGTGATCCTGGTCAGGTGGATTCGTCCCAAACAAACGGGTCCGTAGACCTAGGGGAGAATCAATAGCTTGATTATTTTTTATGCCACAGCAGGGACTATTGCTGATCGAACGAGCATGTTGCAGCGATTATAGTGAGGATGGGCATATCATGATGCAGTAGTGTAATAAACTAATGTAAAACTAATCTATGTAATGCGTAGCAGTACATGTAGCCAGTGTTTGTTTTCCGAATTGACGACTTTTTTTTGAATGAGAAACGACCGTTTGTCGTGTTGTTTGCTTCTAGCCCAGCATTCATGTGCTAACTGTTTTGTACACATTTTTGAGTGACCGATGGTTGCCTTTGCAGTCTTCGACGTTAGGCGGTGGACCGTGGTCCGAGACCACCAAAATCTCTCTCGGTCCAGTAAATTTAACAAGTTAAATGGACCGTCGGTCCACCCGTTTTTTTCAGCCACTCTAGTTACAGTATTTAAATAATTTATAAAAGTATTTATGAGACTACTTACTCACTTTATACATAACTGCGAAAAAACGCGCATCTAAGCATTATCAAAACGCACACCTCTTCGTGTTTTGTTTTTCATTAATCCAACTTATAAACTCGAAGATAAACGCAAACGGTTGTAAACATCACGGACATTGCCGGAAGTCTGTTCACATGTTTATAACGACAGTTGTAACGCTTATACCAACAGCAGTCTTTAACATCAATTCATCCGCTCATCATTTATTTATCACCGGCGAAAGCTGGACGTATCGTTGACTCTGGTATTCTTCCGTTACACACTGAACCGTAAACACACACCTCGACCGTCGTAACTCACAAAGCCTACTGCCTGCGTTGACTGCTTTGCACCCGAACCCACCCAAAACCAAAACCAAAACCAAAACCGTCCGGCCTATCATACGCGAGCCATACATGATGAATATGACTGTTACTGTATTCAATTGCTACAGCAGATCGAGACTGATGATGAAGATGCAGCTGACAATGAAAATTAAAAAGCCTGATTAAGGTTTTTAGTGAAGTTTTATTGCAAAACATGTATGTTTTCTTGAAATGAAACTGAAATACCTCAAATTGACAAAAATGCAAACAAGTGAATGATTATGATGTTGCAAATACTATTAAAGTTTTAATAGTCTGCTTTGAAAAATTGAGTGTTGTTCCTTTTTGACTAAACATGCTAAATGTGTGATTCAAGTTATCCATCAATATGTTCAAGAACTGATATTTTGTTAGATGAAAAAAAAATCGCCTAAAAAATGTCCAAATTAAGAGTACAAATGCAGAGCTAATTTTTATCCCAAAATGCTGGAAATGGCATTTCATGAAGTCTAGATTTCAAATTTTTTTCAAATCAGATTTCAAATCGGCAAGCCAAGGCGTGTGATTTTTCACTCGCCTGCCTTTTTCAAAACACAAGGACTGATAACACTTTTTAAACTTTGTTTCATCTTCTGTTTTCATCGGCTAACCAAACGTATAGGTATTCTTATGTTCATAGCAGTGTGTAGAAGGTATATGATGAATACTTGATAGGATATTCCTACTTGTATCATTGCAGTGTGTAGAAGCATGTGTATTATAGATTTGATAGAGTATTACTACTGTTATCATAGCAGTGTGATAGAAGGTAGTTCATTATAGGTAAATACAAATGATATTACTGTTTTTTCTTTATTGTCAAAAATGTAAATAATATTGGTCAGTAAAATTTAGATCGGTCAGTAAATTTTGCTGGCTGGATGGACCGAAGAGTCAGTGTTAGAAATTTAGTTCGTGAAGACTGGTCTATATATTGTATTTCAATATCCGCTAAATAAATTTAAAAATATTGTTCACATTTTCTGCTAAGTTGCCATATAATCTCTCACTCATTGTTCCCGGCCTGTTTCCTAAATATCGCTGACAATTTTCTAGATCCAATAGTCGTACCATTGTGCGTGACATTAAGTTGGATATAATCTGACCTAGTTTATTTGAACTGCCACAAAATTATAATTTCATAAAATTGTTATATATAATAATAACTAGCTCATGGTATTACTATGAAAATACATAAATTAAATACATAAACATAAAACACTGATGTTTCGCAGAGGCTGTTCCGATTATAGATTATACCAAGATGGTATCAAGGTGCGGTTTCCAGCAGTTTGTTAGTTGATCCTCATTAGGCAGCGTCATTTTAGGGCTGCCCCTAGTAAACTGATATCATTCTCCATGGCTAGTTATGTATGTTACATCAGAGCAGTCTTAGGTACCTTGTGTGGTGTAATTTTATACATTGGTAGGCTAGTAACTGGCTCCATTAAGAATTCAAGGTTAAGCGAAAGAAGAGAGAACTAGTGGTGTTGAGAAGAGGGGGGGGAAGCTGAACTTATTTTTCAGACTTTAAAATATTTACTTAATTTTGCATCCAACATGCATGTTATGTTGCATGAGAGTTCTACAACTTAGCACTTCATATTCGCACGGTGCAGAGCTGGGTGCACCTACTTTTGTTTACGTGCGTGTGACCGGCGTGTATGCGTGTATGTGCGTGTACCGGCGTGCAAAAAAAAAAAACGTATGCGTGTCCCGCGTGCTACGTGCATGTATCTGGTGGTACTGTTACGTGCGTGTATCTGCGTTTACGTTGCGTGTATCTGGCGGGTTACGAGCGTGTACCCGCGTGTCACGTGCGCTGTACTTGGTTTGTGCGTGTACCGCGTGTACATGCGTGTATCTCCGTGTACCCGCGTGTACGTGCGTGTATACTGCGTGTACTACGTGCGGTATCTGAGGTACGTGCGTGTACCCCCTCTGTGCGGGGGGCGGCCCTCCCCCCCGTGCCTGCCCGGAGCAGCCAATTGTTTACAGAAATTGCCTAAAAAAAACTTAGCCTCGTTTTCTTGCGCTGACCCCAGTGTCATGCAATAATATTAAGGAATGTCTATACGTTGCCACATTGCAGAGTTCTCCTGATGCATGCTGGCGTCGACACGCATGCTCAATGCTGAAGCTAATTTATGACATCCCAAAATCCTCTGACATGCCTAATTGCCTAATCGGCGTGTCA